TTTTGAATTATTTTCCGGAGATAAAATTTTAAATGTTTCCATTATATCACTGATTTATTTCTGCAAATTGAATAAATTCTTAATTTTCTGCATGCTGCACATAATACAAAAGGTATTTTCATAGCTTTTGGATTTATACCAAATGAAAAGGACTCTCGAGCACCTTTAACTGATTTTTCTGTGTTAAATTTTTAACAATTTGTTCTTGGAAGTCAGTGTACTTAATTCATGAAGGCAAGTTTGTCAGTATTTTCACAAAACAAAACTATTCAACTGAATCCAGAAGGTGAAATAGCAAGAATTTGCATTGTAAAATTGTGTTATAAAATTGGACTTTGAAATTTTAAAAATAGGAAAAATTTTCACGTGTATTTATACTAAATACCATTTTAGGAAACCAGGATCAGAGTGTTTCTGTTGGTGTTGGCATTAACTAGCTGGATGTAAATTTGAAAAGCCACTCAGAAAGTTTCCTAGTCTAGAAAGTCAGAGGTTTAGATTAGATTTCCGCCATCCCTTCCATTTCTGACCTGTGGTTCTTGTCTGGAATTCTGCTTTGTTATCAACAGTTGTTCTAAGGAGTTCATTGTGATAGCACATAGTTCATTTTGTAAAGATTTCCTGTATATAAAGTGATGCCCTACATGTGTGGCTTTGTATTAAAAGTATATAGGATCATTATTTTATTTTGAAAATTTTAAATACAGAAAAGTATAAAATATGAGTACCATCCGCCCAGAAATAACATGTTAATGTTTTGTCATATGTGCTTCATAGTTTTTGAAATAAAGTGAAGTCAACTAGTATTTATAGTAAATAAGTTATATACACATAAGTACATATAGGATATTTAATCCTCACAACGATCTTTTGATATGTGACCATTTCTTATTCTTGTTTTACAGACAAGGAACTAATGATATGATAGATTAACTGGCCATTGTCACACTAGCAAGTGGCAAAACAAGGGATTAGGATCTTGGTCTCTTGGAGTGTTAGATTCTATACTTCCATCCTGTGTTGACTTTGTTAATGGATTGGATAATGTGAGATCACTCTGATGTAAATAAAGTATTATATATTAATTTTGAGTGCATTTTAAGTACTCGTAACATAAATGCTTCCTGTGAAATATCTGTAAAGACCTGAATGGGTACCTATGTGTAAAGAAGAATCAGGGCAGAAGAGTGCTTTTATCATGGCTCCAGGGACCTTAGCTTCAGTTGGTGTGAGAATTCCTCACACAAGGACATTCTCCTTGCTTCAGCATGAAGATGGAAGTGTTTCCCATCTGGACTTTTTCAAAGACTCAGCTGAAGGAATACAGAATTCATAATTTCCTGGCAGCTTATGATTCTGCTACACTACACCGTGCTATCTCTTGTGTGAAAGGACAAATGTGATGGAGGACTACGTCATCTTTCATGCATTTCTTATTGTCTACATTTATTCTAATGGGAAGAAGTCAGCAAAAACACCTCAATAATTTGGGTAGATTTTAGAAAACGTTGTGTTAGTAAATTACAATAGTGCTACTTTGGCATTATGAGAAAGAAGTGTGGATACATAACTAGGTTTGTGTATGACTACAACAAAATGCAGAATGGTATCTCCAAAAGGTTTCCAGTTGCTGCCACAAGACCTGCTTGGGATTGCCTACATGTGTTGTCCTAGTTTTGCTTTGCCCTTCTGCAGTTACTTGCTGTGGGACCTTGGAGAAATTAACTTAGCCTCTCTGTACTTCAGTTTTTTGTATCTGTAAGATATATTTGTAATAATCTCGTAGTTAGAAAGGTAGTTAATGTGTGACTCAGTCCTTGTCTAAAAGTAAATATGCCTAGCTACCCCTATCTTTCAAAGCCAGAAGGTAAAACTTTAACAAGTTTTCTAAAAGCAAATTGTGGGGGTTTTTTTGTTTGGAGATGGAGTCTCTCTCTGTTGCCCAGGCTGGAGTGCAGTGGCGCGATCTCGGCTCACTGCAAGCTCCGCCTCCCGGGTTCACGCCATTCTCCTGCCTCAGCCTCCCTACTAGTGGGGACTACAGGCATCTGCCACCACGATCGGCTAATTTTTTTTTTTTTTTTGTATTTTTTAGTAAAATGGGGTTTCACCGTGTTAGCCAGGATGGTCTCGATCTCCTGACCTCGTGATCCAACCCACCTCGGCCTCCCAAAGTGCTGGGATTACAGGTGTGAGCCACCGCACCGGGCCGCAAATTGTGTTTTTTAAAGTGCATGTATCATCCAATCCCATATGATTGATCTGTGCTGGGTGCAGCCTAGAATTCTTTTGAATTCTAGGCAGAGAATGCAGGATTGGCATTCTAAATATTTGTACATGATAAACAAATGCTTCTTTAGGTTAGAGCAAATAGTTACATACCAAGATCAAGATTGTTAGATACTGTTGTCAATTACAGAGGTTTTAGATGAGGCTTTCTGGAATGATTTAGTTTCCCTGTAAGGGAATCAGCTCTCCCAGTCTTTCGAGTTGCATGCTTTTTATATCTGTTTGACTCCATTGGCTGAGCTGATTGTGAATGTCCTAACCCTGTTGATTGTGTCTGGCCACTCGTGGGCAAAGAGCTGATTTATTCCATTCTTTATAGTTATAAAAGACATAGTCTATATGTTATAAAAGACATATAGTTATAAAAGACATAGTCTATATGTCTTTTAGTTTTACAAGTTGAAAAAACATCTGAGCAGGTTGGATAATTTATTCTACCACTTGTACATGATTAGAATATGTCAGTCATAATCACACCAAAAGATTATGGATTTATGCATATTTTGTTTTGCTTTAGTACCATTCCTAGTTGAATCTTAACATCCATGTCTAAAATCTATACAGAGCAAATATTACAGTTAGGAAAACTTTTAGTCTCCTCTCTGCAAATATGCTTTACATTTATTGGGGAATCCTCTATCCTTTTCCTGATTTTCCTTAAAGTCTTCCCAGGCTGATGGATAACAAACATATACAAGAAACTTGGGGCTTGGGATTTCTCTAGGCTGTTTGTCATAGAGGAATGCATCCCATCTTGCAAATAGGATGGTCAATTAAGATGGAAGGAAGCAAAAGTGTGGATAGGAAGGAAGGGCACAAACGGAAAAGTGTGGAGTTTGGGTGTGAGTCCTCTAATGAGGTCAAAGGTGGGAGGGAGGCAAGCATGGAAGCTTCCTGGCACTGTGATACTAATTTCCCCTCCTCTCCCTTTTAAAATCGTGTTCATGCAAAGCCAACACAAATAACTAAATAAAATCTTGTCTTCTGGGAGGAAATGAGACTGATTACAGAGCTGCCACTAAGCCCTGTAGGGTTGGTGGAGACAACCCCATTTTACACATTAGTTCACAGACTTGGTGTGACTTGCTTGAGGTCACCCAGCCACTATGTCAGAACCTGATTTTAAATCCAGGGCTGTTCTTTCCACTGCTATGCAAGATACGTTCTGTTTATATTTTTGAGGGAGACAACAGAGATGGGAAGAATTTTTAACATAAAGGCAACGGAGGGGATGAATATGCTGATGGGGAAGGAAAGAGGCCCCAGCTTCTGCAGTTGCTTTCTGTTATTCATAATCCTCTTCTCATCTGGGGGTGCACTGCCTCTCCATTTCTCAAGTATGGAAAATGCCAATAATTCCACTTGTGTTAATTGGCAGTCAGACAACTTGTCCAAAACTGAATTGATCTTACCCACCCCACCAACATTTCAATAATTGCGACCCCAACCTTTCAGTTGCTCAGCTGAAGACTTTGGAGGTATCCTTGATTCTTTTCTCATAACACACATCCAGTGTATCAGTAAGATTTAGAATTCAGTCACTTCTCACCAGCTGCTGGTCCAAGCCATCACAATCCCGGCAAAGTTCTTAACAATGCTCACAGCCTCTCCTCCCCACCTTACCCTTCTGATTGCAGCTGCCATCACTCATCCCCTGCTCACTCCTGCAGTCGTCAAAGACCCCAATGCACTTCTAACGGGGCCTTTGCACTTGCAGCTGTCTTTGTCTGAAGAGCTTTTCCCCTAGGTATCAGCAGGGTTAACACTCTTCCTCATTCAGGTCATGGCTTAACTGTCTTCTCAGCGAGGACTCCTCTGGCCACCCTATTTTATTTTTTTTGAGACGGAGTCTCTGTCACCCAGGCTGGAGTGCAAGGTGCAACCTTGGCTCGCTGCAACCTCTGCCTCCTGCATTAAAGTGATTCTCCTGCCTCAGCCTCCCGAGTAGCTGGGATCACAGGCACTTGCCAGCACGCCCGGCTAATTTTTTTGTATTTTTAGTAGAGACGGAATTCACCATGTTGGCCAGGCTGGTCTCAAACTCCTGCCCTCCAGTGATCCATCCCCGCTAGGCCTCCCAAATCACCATGCCTGGGATTATAGGCGTGAACCATCGCACCCGGTCTAGCCATCCTATTTTAAACTGTCAACTTTTCCCCTTCAATGCTTAGTTTTTCTCCACAGCACTATCACCATTTCATATAGTATATATTTTTCTTCATACTTACTCCCCTTGGAGAAAAACTCCACGAGAGTAAGGATTTTTGTCAGTTTTTCATTGCTATTTCCTCAGTGCTTAGACATGCATCAGGTTCAAAGTAGATGCTCAATATTTGCTGAATGAACAGCAAGAGCAATGGAGGAGTCCTGAACTACACAGCAAGAAGCAAGGATAACTCTGGCCTTACTTCTGTAGCCAGGGTCTTTCATCTCAACTTTTTAGAGGTAGAAAAACAAGATCGAGCTCCTCAGAACCCAGGTCGACAGCTGCAGAGCCTTCGACCTTCCGAGAGCGAATGGCGATCACTGTTTTCCAGTTCTCTGCGAAGCCCAGCTGGAAGACAATCCCTTTCCGCGCCCCAACTCCAGCGGCGGGCATGCCCTGCACCAGAGCGCCCCGCTCCGGCAGCTGCCGCCTGCACCATCCGGAATGTTTCGCCGTGGCCGCAGCGCGAGGCGGAATGACTTCCGGGGCGCCTCTAAAGCGGCGGGGCGGAGTTTCCGGCTGAGAGTCCTTCTAGCCCGGCCGGTGAGTCCGCGGGTGGAAGTCTGTGTGGCGCAGAGGTGGGGCAGGCTGCTTGGCTAGGTAGGCGGTTGGGAGGGTTTTCGTGGCGGGGAACGGAGGCTGAACTGCCCTGCCTGTGCTCATAGGGAAGGAGGATGTGAAGGAACTTGTGAAGGCAGAGGAAGGTAACTTTCGTGTGGGGAGCCGTAGAGTAGGGAGGGAGGCTGCAGGCCGTCCTTCCCTAAGTAAAAGCGCGACTTTTAGAAATGATGGTTCAGGGTTCGAGTTTGTGACCCGCTTGAGAAAGTGACCACCCTCTGAGCCTGAATCTCATACCTGAAAAACAAGGACAGTAATCAGCCTTGCCAGTTTCACATAGCTTGGTAGGGTAAGGTGTGAAGAAAAGCTTATTAAATTGGGATGTTTGGTGCTCTCATTTGTTTCCAGATAGCATTCCGAGCTCATGTAACGGGAATCACACCAGTAGGCTTATGCTGAGGAATGTGGATTGTTTGGGGTTGGATTCCAGGAAACAGATCACTTAATTTTTTTTCCCCCACAAGACGGAGTCTCGCTCTGTCGCCAGCCTGGAGTGCAGCGGCGCGATCTCGGTTCACTGCAACCTCCACCTCCCGGGTTCAAGCGATTCTCCTGCCTCAGCCTCCCGAGTAGCTGGAACTACAGGCGCGCGCCACCACGCCTAGCTAATTTTTGTATTTTCAGTACAGACGGGGTTCACCATGTTGGCCAGGATGGTCTCGATCTCTTGACCTCTTGATCCTCCCGCCTCAGCCTCCCAAAGTGCTGGGATTACAGGTGTGAGCGACCCACCCGGCCTCACTGATATTTTTAAGAAGAAGATGGACTCTTGGGAAATGATAGGCCATTGGAGATCTTTACAAAGTCAATCTTCAAGATGCATGAATCCTTTAAACAGCATGCATGTTTACAATCAGACTTCCCATTGAACGTCTGCAGTTTTAGGGACCTTAATACCTCTTGTCCAGTCTCTGATTTCCCATTGCAGGCAGCTCTAATTAAGAAGTCCTTTTAGCCGGGCGTGGTGACTCATGCCTCTAGTCCCAACACTTTGGAGGGCCGAGGTGGGAGGACCAGTTCTGGTTAGGAATTCGAGACCAGGCCTGGCCAACAGGCTGGTGAAACCCCGTCTCTACTAAAAAAAAGTTAGCTGTGGTGGCATGCGCCTTAATCTCAGCTATGCCGGAGACAGAAGAGGCAGTGGAATCGCTTGAACCCTGAGGTGGAGGTTGCAGTGAGCTGAGATTGTGTCACTGCACTCCAAGCTTAGGCGACAGAGCAAGACTGTCTCAGAAAAAAAAAAAAAAAAGGAAAAAAAAGAAGTCCTTTGATACGATCATCCAAAAGTCTCTCAGTTGCTATTTATTTTTATATTTATAATATATATTTATAATGATTTATTTTGAGGCAGGGTCTCACTCTGTCACCCAGTCTGGAGTGCAGTAGTGAACATGACTCACTGTAGCCTTGACTTGCTTGGGCTCAAGCCATCCTCCCACTTTAGCTTCCCAAGTAGCTGGGACTCAAGTACTCGCCACTTCGCCCAGCTAATTTTTTGATGTTTTGTAGAGACGAGGTTGCCCAGGCTGATCTGAGCTCCTGAACTCAAGCAATCCTTTTGCCTTGGCCCCCAAAGTGCTGGGATTACATGTTTGAGCCACTGTGCCCTGCCAAGAATTTGAGTTTTAAAACATTGAGAACGTTATGTGAGTTTTTCATTTTTGAAGTTCGCAATACGTAACAGAAAACAGGGAAGAGCAAAATGTTCAGTTTAGGCTGGGTGCGGTGACTCATGCTTGTAATCCCAGCACTTTCAGAGGTCGAGGTGAGTTGATCACCTGAGGTCAGGAGTTCCAGACCAGCCTGGCCACCATGGCGAAACCCCATTTCTACTAAAAACACAAAAATTAGCCAGGTGTGGTGGTAGGCCCTTATAATCCCAGCTACTTGGGAGGCTGAGGCAGGAGGATCACTTGAACCCAGAGGCAGAGGTTGCAGTGAGCTGAGATGGCGCCATTGCACTCCAGCCTCGGTGGTGAGTGAAACTCTGTCTCCAAACAAAAAGCAAACAAAAATGTTCCATTTATGGGCAGATCACTTGAGGTCAGGAGTTCGAGATCAGCCTGGCAAGTCAGGCGAAACCCTGGCTCTACAAAAATACAAAACATGGCGAAACCCTGACTATACTAAAAATATAAAAATTAGCTGGGCATGGTGGCACGCACCTGCAATCCCAGCTACTCGGGAGGCTGAGGCAGGAGAATCACTTGAACCCGGGAGGCGGAGGTTGCAGTGAGCCAGGAGGTGGTGGAGTGGAGAGGGAGATTGCATTGGGGAGGGTGGAGGTATGATGAGGACATTTATTTATGAATGAATGAATGAATGAATGAATGACAGAGTCTTGCTCTTTCACCCAGGCTGGAGTGCAGTGGCACGATCTTGGCTCACTGCAGTGTCTACCTCCTAGGTTCAAGCAATTCTCCTACCTCAGCTTCCTGAGTAGCTGGGATTATAGGTGTGCACCACCATGCCCTGCTAATTTTTGTATTTCTAGTAGAGATGGGGTTTCACTATGTTGGCCAGCCTGGTCTCGAACTCCTGACCTCAAATGATCTGCTGGCCTCGGCCTCCCAACGTGCTGAGATTACAAGCATGAGCCACAGTGCCTGTTTCTCTCTCTCTCTCTCTCTTTCTTTCCTTTCTTTTCTTTCTTTTTGAGGCAGGGTCTCACTCTGTTGCCCAGGCTGGAGTGCAGTGACATGATCTTGGCTCACTGCAGCCTCCGTGCCTCCTGGGTTCAAGCAGTCCTGTCTCAGCCTCCCCAGTAGCTGGGATTGCAGGCGCCCGTCCCTACCAACCTCCTAGCTAATTTTTGAATTCCTGACCTCAAGTGATCACCTGCCTCAGTCTCCCAAAGTGCTGGAATTACAGGTGTGAGCCAGCATACCCGGCCTGGTTTTGTTTTTGTTTTTGTTTTTTGTGACTCACTGCAACTTCTGCCCTCCAGGTTCAAGCAGTTCTCCTGCCTCAGCCTCCCTAGTAGTTGGGATTACAGGCACCCATCACCATGCCCAACTAATTTATGTATTTTTAGTAGAGACGGGTATCACCATGTTGGCCTGGCTGGTCTTGAACTCCTGACCTCAGGTGATCCGCACCTTGGCCTCTCAAAGTGCAGGGATTACAGGGATGGAGCCACCGCACCTGGGCCTGGCCTGTGTTTGTTTGTTGTTTTGTTTTGTTTTCAACTTTTATTTTCAGGGAGTACGTGTGCATGTTTGTTACATGGATAAATTGCTTGTTGTTGAGGTTTGGTGTACAAATGATCCCATCACCCTGGTAGTAAACATAGTACTTAATAGGCAGTTTTTCAACCCTTACTCTCTCTCATTCTTCGTCGTCTAGTAGTCTCCGACGTCTGTTCTCATTGTTATGTCCATGTGTACTCAGTGTTTTGCTCCCACTTGTAAATGAGAACATGCTGTATTTGGTTTTCTGTTCCTGTTTTTTTTAGGCCAGAGTGCAGTGGCACGATCTCAGCTCACTGCAGCCTCTCTGCCTTCCAGGTTCAAGCGATTCTCCTGCCTTAGCCTCCCAAGTAGATGGGATTACAGGTGCTCGCCACCAAGCCTGGCTAATTTTTTTGTATTTTTAGTAGAGACAGGGTTTCACCATGTTGGCCAGGCTGATTTCGAACTCCTGACCTCAGGTGATCCACTTGCCTCGGCTTCCCAAGTGCTAGGATTACAGGCGTGAGCCACTGCATTGGGACTCTGTTCCTGTTAATTCAGTGAGGATAATGGCCTCCAGCTGTATCCATGTTGCTGCAAAAGACAGGATTTCATTGTGGGGTTTTTTTGTTGTTTTTTTTTGGCTGCTAGTATTCCATGATATATTAGGTACCACATTTTCTTTATCTAGTGCACCACTGATGAGCATCTAAGTTGATTCAGTGTCTTTGCTATTTTGGATAGTGCTGTGATTAACATGAGTGCATGTATGCTTTTGGTAGAATGATTTTATTTTCCTTTGGGTATATACCAAGTATTGGGATTGTTGGGTCGACATACATGTGTCCAATAAATATATGAAAAAATGTTTAACATCACTGATCATTAGAGAAATGCAAACCAAGACCACAATGTAAATCAAAACCACGGCACCATCTCACCACCAGTCAGAATGGATATTATTAAAAAGTCAAAAAATAACAGATGTTGGCAAGGTTGTGGAGAAAAGGGAATGCTTATCCACTGATGGAAGGAATGTAGATTAGTTCAGCCACTGTGGAAAGCAGTTTGGAGATGTCTCAAAGAACTATGTTTAATTTTGTGTCCTTTTTTTTGAATTATGAGCCATAGCATTTACCCATTTATAAATAATAAATGTGATTTAAAAACTTTTGATTGTGAGAAAATTCAGACATACACAAAGAGAGATAGTACAGTGAATCACATGTCACTCAGCTACAATAGTTTATACCTATACTGACTCCTCACAATTCTACAGTCGTGTGTCATGTGACGCATCTATAAAGCATCTATAAAGCAGTTTTGTCATGTGACACATCTATAAAGCATTTTTGTTCTTTTACAAATCGTAAAAAGATGCTTATTTTTATTAGTACCAAGCTTGTGTATACATGTTCATATTATTTCTTGAAAATGAGAAATGGAGTTCTATGAAGATTTTTAATGACAATTATTGAGTAAAATACAAAGAATAAGATGACCTGGCATTCAATTTTTTTTACTTTATATATGTGTCTAATTTTCAAATTTAATTGGATGCATTTTGTAACAAACATCTTTAGATAACTTACATTCTAATGATTTTTACAGATTACTGAATAATAAAATACAGTTTTGAAAAAATGGATGAAGAACCTGAAAGAACTAAGCGATGGGAAGGAGGCTATGAAAGAACATGGTAAGGAGAGCATTATTGCCCTGTCTTTTCTTTTAGACATTGTCTTTTTTTTTTTTTTACAACTTTATTAAAGTATATTTTACATTGTTAAAATTCACTCATTTCCAATGTACAATTCAGTGATTTTTTATTAATACTTTACTGAGCTGTGCAGCTATTATCATAAACCAGTTTTAGAGCATTGTAACCACTCCAGTAAGATCCTTCATGTCCATTTACAATTAATTTAATCTTGATTTAATTCCACCTGTAGGCAATCATTAGTCTACTTTTTGTCTCTAAATTTTAACCTTTTCTGGACATTGCACAAAAATGTGATCATGTACAATCATGCGCCGCATAATGATGTTTTGGTCAAAGATAGACTGTATATATATATGACAGTGGTCCCATAATATTATAATACTGTGTTTTTACTATACCTTTTCTATGTGTGTTTAGATACACAAATACTGACCATTGTGTTACAGTTGTCTTTAATATATTCAGTATAGTAACATGCTGTACAGGTTCGTAACCTAGGCGTGGGGTAGGCTATACCATCTAGGTTTGTGTAAGTATACCCTGTGATATTCACACAATAATGAAATCACCTAACAATGCATTTCTCAGAACGTATCCCTGTCAGTAAGCAATGCATGACTTATTATAGCATGGTGGTCTGCTGTGGCTGGCTTTCACTTATTCAAGACTCATCCATGTTGCAGCATGTATTGATACTTCATTCCTTTTTTATTGCTGAATAGTATTCCCATCTATGGTTATGCCACATTATTGTTTATCCATTCACTAGTCTGTGGATATTTAGGTTCTTTACGGTTTTTGGCTGTTAGGTAAATGCAGCCATGAACACTCACGTGCAAATCTTTGTGTGGACGTATATTTTCATTTTATTTGGGCTAGTAATCATTTTAGCTTGTCTTTTCAAACAAATAATTATGATTTATAGGGAGATTCTTAAAGAAGATGAATCTGGATCACTTAAAGCTACAATAGAAGACATTCTATTCAAGGCAAAGAGAAAAAGGTATGTAACCTTCCTATGTATGTTAAAAAGGTAAAATATATTCATTTTAAGCCTTTCTATCTATAAACACTCCTTAGTACTTCACTTCAGCTGTGTTTCAGGGAAACTGACCTATTGCCTTCTGACTATGGGGAAAGAACTAGCCACCTACCCTTGCCTCAGCAGGAAATGGTCTTTAGAGACTATCTACAATACCTGTAATTATGTGTATTGTATTCCATAAGTTAATTATTTACTCCACTAAAAATGTACGTGATGACATTCTTAATCAGAATTAGAAAAAAAGAGAAAGCAGGTCAATTGGAAAGTTGTATTTTTTTGTGTGTTGGGGGGGATAGTATATTGAATTCCATTAAAATGTTTGTATAATTTTAACAGAGTATTTGAGCACCATGGACAAGTTCGACTTGGAATGGTATGTCATTATTTTTTACTAGTACAAAACTAGTTTAGGTTAGAGAAATATTCTGACTTGCTAGAAAAAACAATAGTGAAATAACAAAGTTTTTAAAAGAATACATTAAAAATATATGCATAGAATATGAAATTATTAAATGCTATTTTTACTAATCAAAATGGCACTTGAGGCTGGGCACAGTGGCTCATGCCTATAATCCCAGCACTTTGGGAGGCCAAGGCAGGAGGATTGCTTGAGCCCAGGAGTTTGAGACCAACATGGGCAACAGAGTGAGACCCAGTTTCTACAAAACAAAACAAGTACTTGAAATTGGCCCTTTCTTTTTTCTGGTAGATGCGCCACCTTTATGTGGTAGTAGATGGATCAAGAACAATGGAAGACCAAGATTTAAAGCCTAATAGACTGACGTGTACTTTAAAGGTAAAATTTAAATTTATACTAAATCATTTAAATTTATACCAAAATCACTTAAACTTCTACTAAAAAAGTGGGGAAGAACACTGGATTCTAAAAGATATTTTTAAAGAATGCAATATTTTTTATTTTTTGCCTTGTATTTTTAGTTAGTACTAATGATAGCTAAGTAGAAGTGCTGCCAGGTCATTTAGGGAAATTTTAAATCAACATAGCTAATTATTTGTGTTTTTAATTTCTATCCTCCCACCCCACGTCAGGATCTTGGTTTGTCAGTTATCCCTTTTCTTTATTGAATCTTCATTCTCCTTTGCCTTACTTAAATCTGTCTCCTCAGATTACAAATATGTTCATATTATTCCTAATTTATCAAAACCTATTCTCAATTCTGCTCATTCTCCCATCTCTCTTCATTGGATCTTTTCCTCTTTGAAATTTTTTCTGACACATCCAAATGGTTCCATCTTTTAAAACCTAGCTCAAACCTATCTCATTACCCACCATTTCAAATTAAGGTTTTTACTGTTTAATATTTTTATTACTTTAAATTTTTTGAAAATCTGTAAGTTTAAAAGCATAAGAAGTGATGCTTGAAACAGGGTTCGCAAACATCAGTTGGACATGTTCTTTATGATTGTTATTTTGCCTTTATCTAGTATGTCTTTTTTTATTTAAACAGTTGTTGGAATACTTTGTAGAGGAATATTTTGATCAAAATCCTATTAGTCAGGTACGTATATAAATGATAGAATGCGGAATTAGATTGATGTTTTGCTTCCAAATGTAATTTATTTTTAAAAATTGGACATATATTTTGTGAATTACCCAAATTGTTTAACCAGTTTCCGGTATACTTAAAAATGAAAAGCATAATAACTCTAAAAGTTAAACAATGTATGGTGAACTCATAGCTAAATTTATTTGCCAAAAACACCATGAGAAAAAGTTTCTAACCTGTTGCTTCTTTCTTTTGTAATTACTAGTTTATTTTAGCTATGTAAATTATTTTTTTTCTGCCCCAATATGATCTATAGGAATAGTTATATATATTCTTAATGGGAGGAAATAACTTGTTAGATTAATAATAATTTTTGTTTTTATTTCAAGATTGGAATAATTGTGACTAAAAGTAAAAGAGCTGAAAAATTGACTGAACTCTCAGGTATGCATAAAATTACCTTTACATGACTCAAGGACTTTGCTTTATTTACCCAACCTCGTAGCCCTGTTTGTATGTCTGCTTAATAAGTAACGTGAAGGGTTCCTCTGTCTTCTCTAGGGGAAACAATTTAATAACATTTCCCCCACCATTATATTCTTAGGATACAAGGTTAACTATTCTAAGTTGAGTTCTTCATAGTGGCAAATAATAATTACATTGAATATAAATGTTTTTATTTAAAATCTATATGTGCTTATCCTGAAATTTTTTTTTCTTTTTTTTTTTTTTTTTTTTTTTTTGGAGACAGAGTCTTGCTCTGTCACCAGGCTGGAGTGCAGTAGCGTGATTTCGGGTCACTGCAAAGTCCGCCTCACGGGTTCAAGGGATTCCCTGCCTCAGCCTCCTGAGTAGCTGGAACTACAGGTGCCCGCCACCACACCCTGCTAATTTTTTGTATTTTAATAGATAAGGGGTTTCACTATGTTGGCCAGGATGGTCTTGATCTTTTGACCTTGTGATCAGCCCGCCTCGGCCTCTCAAAGCACTAGGATTACAGGCTTGAGCCACTGCGCCCGGCCTTATCCTGAGAATATTAAAATACAGTTATTGTAATCATTTATAAAATCCAGTTAATCTTAAATTCTTAAAAAGTTAAGCATCTAATTTAAAAGGGAAAAAGTATAAAAATTAAACTGTAGCTATTGCTCATGAATCAATTTTTCTGCTTCCATGACATACCTAACTGAATTTTAGTTGCAAAACGTAGTAATGACATTTTTAAATTTGCTTTGGTATATATGCTGTTACAAATTTGCATCACTGATTCTATTTTATTTTCTGTGAAACACACTATCCCTTAAATCTGGTTCTCAACCTTTTATCCTTGCCAACACACATAAGGGAAATGACATACTTTCTTCATTAGTAGTTTTTCATTAAATGCAGTGAGGAGTGAAATGTACATTGGCTTGGAGTGATCCAAGAAACTCAGTTGTGAGTAACCAAAAGATTGTCACGCTAGCTTAGGTGCAGAAGGAACATTTTTGGCTATATTCAAAGGTGGGCCAATTCCATATATAGCTGCTGTGTATGTTGGGGTCCTGGCTTTGTCTGGCTTCATTTTCGGATAGATTTTCTGGAAGTTGAAAAGATGTCTCTTAATTGTCCCAGTCTACATTGTACCCGTAGCCTATAGCTTCAGCACACGTCTTGTGAGAACTCTGATTGGCCTGACTTACGATTTACCCATCCATGAACAAAGTGGCCAGTGAATGAAGTTTTTTGTTTGTATGCTTCGATTGCCTGCCAATGCCCAGAGGAGGATAGAAGTAGGGTCAGCACCATATGAACTAAGCAGGATTATTATGTAGTGGAAGAAGATGGTTCCTCCAAGGTAGGGCTATAGGGTCAATACTTTCCTCTCACTTTACCCACCCCAAATTACCAGCAGTTTTCTTTCTTTCTTTCTGTCTTTCTTGTCTTTCTTGTCTTTCTTGTCTTTCTTGTCTTTCTGTCTTTCTCTCTTTCTTTCTTTCTGTCTTTCGTCTGTCTTTCTGTCTTTCTTAGAAGGAGTCTCTCACTCTGTTGCCAGGCTGGAGTGCAGTGGCGCTGTCTTGGCTCACTGCAACCTCCGCCTCCCGGATTCAAGTGATCCTCCTGCCTCCCGCTCCCGAGTAGCTGGGATTACAGGTGTGCGTTGCCAGGCCTGGCTGATTTTTTTATTTTTAGTAGAGACAGAATTTCACCATGCTGGCCAGGCTGATCTCAAACTCCTGACCTCAGGTGATCCACCCACCTCAGCCTCCCAAAGTGCTGGGATTACAAGCGTGAGCCACTGTGTTCACCCCCAGCAGTTTTCTATGGATGTTAGTGAAGTCATATACGTAAAGATGAAAAATACTCTGGAGATTCTGACAGGCCTCTTGAAGCCACCTTTTTTCCTCCAATCAGACCACTGCTGTAAACCACACTGACACTATTGTGGTATGCTTTTTTCCTATACCCATAACACAGTGGGAGATTAAAAATAGTTTTGTAGGGTAGGAAGAGAAGTGGATAGAGAGCCAGGAGATCTAGGTTTGGGTGCTGCTGGTCCTGCAGTTAAGTAGGCATATGTCTTTGGGCAAGTCATTTCACTTGTTTAGATTTAGATTAATTTTCTCACTTATGAAGTGAGGGATTTGGTCTGCTTAGTGAGGTACTTTTCATCTCTAAAATTTATGAATCTAAAATACTTGCAGTAAATATTAAATATTACAAATAGTTGGCCGGGCACGGTGGCTCAAGCCTGTAATCCCAGCACTTTGGGAGGCCGAGACGGGCGGATCACGAGGTCAGGAGATCGAGACCATCCTGGCTAACATGGTGAAACCTCGTCTCTACTAAAAAATGCAAAAAAAAGAACTAGCCAGGCGAGGTGGCGGGCACCTGTAGTCCCAGCTACTTGGGAGGCTGAGGCAGGAGAATGGCGTGAACCCGGGAGGCGGAGCTTGCAGTGAGCTGAGATCCGGCCACTGCACTCCAGCCTGGGCGGCAGAGCGAGACTCCGTCTCAAAAAAAAATAAAAATAAAAATAAAAAAATAAATAAATATTACAAATAGTTAATATTTTAAAACTTAGATGAATAAAAACTCAAGGGAGCTCCCAAGTTGATGAATAGACAAGACATGATTCACACAGAAAAAAACCCCAGAAATTAAATAAGGGAAACTAGTAATCCAAAAAAACTCCACCCAATTCCATAACATTTTATTTTTTAATATATTTTAAATGAGCAAAATTAAGTTTCAAAAGCAATATGTTGCTTGTGGAACCACAGAGAAACTGTTATTTATAGTGCTGATAGTCTTATAAATTAGTTCAGCATTTTTTAGAACAGCATAAAAATTGTTCCTGAAATTATATTTAGGAAATGTTATGGAAGGAGAATGATCACTCTACAAAAATACTCTTTGTAACATTATGTGTAATAGTGACAGATTAAAAATTAAACATTTAAAAGTATACTTTGATGGATTATATTTTATGACAAAATCAATTTAATGATACGAAGACAGTGCTGAAATGGAAAATGTTTACGGAATACTATATTTCATTGAAACTCAGATTCCATCAATTACAGTATACTTTTATAAGCCATTAAGAAGGAAAAGTCGTAGTAGTTAAACTTTGACACAATATCAAATGATATATGAGTTGGCTATACTAGTTTCTTGGTAATTTGACATGTCTGTCACTTTGGGGGCTGGGCCTGGCGGCTTACACCTGTACTCCCAGCACTTTGAGAGGCTGAGACCGGAGGATTGCTTGAATCCAGAAATTCAGGACTAGCCCGGACAACATGGCGAAACCCTGTCTCTACCAAAAATATAAAAAAAAATTTAGCTGAGTGTGGTGCTGGGCACCTGTAGTCCCAACTACTTGGGAGGTTGAGGTGGGAGGATGGTTCGAGCCTGGGAGGTGGAGGTTGCAGTGAGCCGAGATTGCCCCATTGCACTCCAGCCTGGACAACAGTGCCAGATCCTGTCTATAAAAAATTTTTATATTAAAGAGAAAAAAAGGATTTGGCAACTTCTCCCCCCTTCATTTGAATTACTTGGCATAAGATAGACAATCTTTTCAGATGCTATTTGGTAAGAGAAGATAACACAGCTTTGTCTATTTGTGGGACTATTCCTTTCTTAGGTCTTGTAAAGCTCTTGATTTCTTCCCTCAAGAAAAATACGGGATTGCATGCATTCTTCCATTAATATTTGCTTCATTAATAATAAATTTATGCCTCACTGCTGTGTTCCACACCTTTCTACATAGAAATAATAGCCTTTTGTATTAACCTTTCTAAAAACATTTTATTGTTTGTTTTTTGAGATGGAGTTTTGCTGTTGTTGCCCAGGCTGGAGTGCAGTGGTGTGATCTCAGCTCACTGCAACCTCCACCTTCTGGGTTCAAGCAATTCTTGTGCCTCAGCCTCCCTAGTGGCTGGGATTACAGGTGTGTGCCACCATACCCAGCTAATTTTTGCATTTTTACTACAGATGGGGTTTACACCATGTTGGCCAGGTGCGTCTTGAACTCCTGACCTCAGGTTATCTGCATGCCATGGCCTCCCAAAGTGCTGAGGTTACAGGCGTGAGCCACCGCGCCGGGCCTTAGAAACATTTTAAATGGCAGTTAAACTCACCATGAAGAGGACAATGTACATAATGCAATTGAAGCAACAATATGTGAAGACCTATTTGTAGGTTCACATACGAGCAGGCAAAGACTATGTTACAAGTGCTGCTGGCTACCAGTGATTATTAAACACATGCTGATTTCGGAGATGTTAAAATGTGAAAATGTATTCATCTTAAAAATGATGAAATGTGGAAATATTAAGAGTAAAAAAATGCACTCTAGGTTAATATTATTTTAAAATATGTATGCTAGTCTATAAGGAGATTATTTGTATTATGTTTTTCAGTATGAAGTGAGACTTATTTACAAAATATTTGAGATAAAATTCCAACAGAAATGCAAATTGAAAGGATTCTGTTCTTTAACATCTTAGATATGTAAATTTTGAGAGAAAGAAACTTTTTTAATATATAGGATTTTATTTAAAGATCTTATTTCTATTTTAGGAAACCCAAGAAAACATATAACGTCTTTGAAGAAAGCTGTGGATATGACCTGCCATGGAGAGCCATCTCTTTATAATTCCCTAAGCATGGCTATGCAAACTCTAAAGTTAGTATTATACATTATATATAATTGAATTAGAAGTTTTTTAAATGAGTTAAGTTGAAATGATGTGTTAATATGGGGCCCATAAACACAGCTATAACAAAATTGTTAAGTACAAAAAGTATGTAATGTCATTTATGATGTTTAGTGTGGTGTTGGCTAGTAATTTCTATTTTACATTTTAGTAGGATATTGTTAAAGGTTTTATAAAAATATAATTTAAAACTGTTGGCAATATCAATAGTACAAAAGAAATATATTGGTAAAAAATATTTTATTAAAATGAGATTTAATGTAGTATAATAATTGTAAGTTGGTTGTACCTTTATTAACATTTATTAATTTATTTTGAAAATAATGGCCAAAACCACAATTCCTTCTGCACCAACCTCATATATCTGTAAATTAATATATATGGTAAGTTCAGCTATGTGGAATAGAGCCAAGACCTGAAAGGAAATACTTGGTATAGTTAAAGCTTATATATATATATATATATTTATTTTTTTTTTTTTTTTGAGACAGAGTTTTGCTCTGTCACCCAGGTTGGAGTGCAGTGGCATGATCTTAGCTCACTACAACCTCCGCCTTCTGGGTTCAAGTGATTCTTGTGCCTCAGCCTCCCTAGTAACTGGGATTACAGGTGTGTGCCGCCATGCCCAGCCAATTTTTGTATTTTTAGTACAGATGGGGTTTCACCATGTTAGCCAGGCTGGTCTTGAACTCCTGGCCTCAAGCGATCCGCTCACCTCAGCCTCCCTAAAGCTTACATATTTTATCTCTGGATAGTCTGCCCTGGCTCAGACTTTATAACTTTACATAATAGATATTTTTCTAGTTTTGAAGTGGATGAGAAGGAGGTAACACATGTAATAGAGGTAAGTACAGTAGCAGGGTCTACCAGTGAGAGCTGAGAAGATAACAATGAAAATATAAGCAGGAAAGCTATAACTAACTGATAAAATTGCTGCAGAAAGCATAGAAACGTCTATTTAGTATAGGTGAAAACTGGTCACCACAACTTAAAACTCTACAAGCTATCATTTTAATTAAATGGTATACAAGATTAATGTTCGTGATTATTATGACCGAATTACTATGAGGTTAAATTACAGTAATCTCCCCTTATCTGCAGTTTCACTTTCCAGTTTTAGTTATTCTTGGTCTGAAAAATATTAAATTGAAAATTTCAGTAATAAATAATTCATAAGATTTAAGTTGTATGTCATTCTGCGTAGCATGATGAAATCCTACACCTTCCTTCTCTGTCCTGCCCAGGACGTGAATCATCCCTTGGTCCTGTAGATCCACACAGTATATGCTGCCCACCCATTTAATGGCCTAAGTCATCAGATTAACTGTTATTGACTGTCAAAACTATTGCAGTGTTTGTGTCATTTTACTTAATAATGACCCCAAAGTGCAGGAGTAGTGATGCCAGCACATTGTTATAATTGTTCTGTTATTAGTTATTATTGTTAATCTCTTACTGTGCCTAATTTTTATACATTAAACTTGATCATAGGTGTGTATGTACAGTCATACCTCATTTTGTTGCACTTTTATTACACTTTTCAGATAACTTTTTTTTTTTTTAACAAGCTGACAGTTTATGGCAACTCTGTGTTGAGCAAGTCTGTTGGTGCCATTTTTTTTAACAGCATGTGCTCACTTCATGCCTCTATATCACACTTGGTAGTTCTTGCAATATTTCAAGCTTTGTAAATTGTTGTTATATCTGTTATGGTGATCTGTGATCAGTGATCTTTGATGTTACTATTGTAATTATTTTAGGCACCACAAACTGGGCCCATATAAGACAACAGACTTAATTGATAAGTATTATGTGTGTTCTGACTGCTTCACCAACTGGCTGTTTTCCAGTCTTTCTCCCTCTGTTCGGGGCCCCCCATCTCCTAAGAGAAAAAAATACTCAAATTACACCAATCATAACCCTACAGTGGCCTCTGATTGTTCAAGAGAAAGGAAGAGTCGCATGTCTCACTTTAAATCAAAAGCTAGAAATGATTGAGCTTAGTGAGGAAGGTGTGTCAAAATGCAAGACAGGCTGAAAGCTAGGTCTCTTGTGCTAAACACTTAGTCAAATTGTGAATGTAAAGGTAAAGTTCTTGAAGGAAATTAAAAGTGCTTGGCTGGGCCTGGTGGCTCTTACCTGTAACTGCAATACTTTGGGAGGTTGAGATGGGAGGATTACCTGAGGCCATGAGTTTGAGACCAGCCCTGGTAACATAGCAAGACCCCCATCTCTACCAAAAAAAAAATAGCCAGGCACAGTGGTGAGCACCTATAGTCCTTAACTTCTCAGGAGGCTGAGCCCAGTAGTTTGAGGCTGCAGTGAGCTATGATTGTGCTACTGCACTCCAGCTTGTATGATAGAGCAAGATTCTATCTCAAAAAAAGAAAAACATAATGGAAATTCAAAGTGCTGCTTCAGTGGACACATGAATGATAAGAAAGTGAAACAGCTTTATTGCTGATATGGAGAAAGTTTTAATGGTCTGGATAGAAGATTAAAGTAGCCACAATAGTCCTTTAAGTCAGATCCTAATCCAGAGCACGGCTCTCATTCTCTTCAATTCTATGAAGGCTGAGAGCAGTGAGGAAGCTGTGGAAGAAAAGTTTGAAGCTAACAGAGCTGAGCTCATGAGGTTAATGAAAGAAGCTATCTCCAAAACGAAAGTGCAAGAGGGGCCAGGCACAGTGGCTCAGGCCTGTAATCCCAGCACTTTGGGAGGCTGAGGTGGGCGGATCATGAGGTCAGGAGTTCGAGACCAGTCTGGCCAACATAGTGAAACCCTGTCTCTACTAAAAATACAAAAAATTAGCCAGACGTGGTGGTGTGCACCTATAATCCCAGCTACTTGGGAGGCTGAGGCAGGAGAATTGCATGAACCCAGGAGGCGGAGGTTGCAGTGAGCCGAGATCGTGCCATTGCACTTTAGCCCAGGCGATACTGTGAGACTCTGTTTCAAGAAAAAAAAAAAAGTGCAAGAGGAAGCAGCAAATGCTGATGTAGAAGCTGCAGCAAGTTATCCGGAAGATCTAGCTAAAATAATTGATGAAGCTGACTACACTAAATATCAAATTTTCTTTTTCTTTTCTTTTGTTGTTGGTTTGTTTTTGGGATAGGGTCTTGCTCTGTCACCCAGGCTAGAGTGCAGTGGTGCAGTCATGGATCACTGCAGCCTCAAACTCCCAGGCTCAAGCTATTATCCCAGCCCCCCAAGTAGGAGGGACTACAGACATGTGCCACCACACCCAGCTAATTTTTGTATTTTGTTGTTGTTGTTGTTTTTGTAGAGGTAGGGTTTTGCCACATTGCCCAGGCTGGTCTTGAACTCCTGGGCTCAAGCAGTCCTCCTGCCTCTGCCTCCCAAAGTGCTGGGATTACAAGCGTGAGCCACTGTACCTGGCCTCATATTTTCAATGTAGATGAAACAGCCCTCTGTTGGAAGAAGATGCCATCTAGGATTTTCATAGCTAGAAGAAGTGAATGCTTGGTTTCAGAGCTTCATGGGATAGGCTTTCTCTCTTGTTAGGGGCTAATACAGCTGGTGACTTGATGTTGGCACCAATGTTTGTTACCATTCTGAAAATCCTAGAGTCCTTAAGAATTATGCTAAATCTATTCAGTCTGTGCTCTGCAAATAGAGTAACAAAGTCCGGATGACAGCACATCTGTTTACAGCATGGCTTACTGAATTTTTTTTTTTTTTTTTTGAGACGGAGTCTCGCTCTGCCGCCCAGGCTGGAGTGCAGTGGCCGGATCTCAGCTCACTGCAAGCTCCGCCTCCCAAGTTTACGCCATTCTCCTGCCTCAGCCTCCCGAGTAGCTGGGACTACAGGCGCCCACCACCTCGCCCGGCTAGTTTTTTGTATTTTTAGTAGAGACGGGGTTTCACCGTGTTAGCCAGGATGGTCTCGATCTCCTGACCTCGTGATCCGCCCGTCTTGGCCTCCCAAAGTGCTGGGATTACAGGCTTGAGCCACCGCACCCGGCCGGCTTACTGAATATTTTAAGCCCATTGTTGAGATCTGTCTCAGAAAAAAGATTTATTTCAAAATATTACTGCTCACTGACAATGCACCCAGTCACCCAAGAGCTCTAATTGAGATGTACAAGGAGATTAATGTTATTTTCATGTCTACTAACATAGCACTCATTCTGCAACCCTTGGATAAAGGAATACTTTGAACTTTCACATCTTGATTATTTAAGAAATACATATCATAAGGCTGTGACTGCCATAGATGGATCTGGGCAAAGTACACTGAAAACCTTCTAGAAAGAATTCACCATTCTAAATGCCATTCATGGAAGGAGTTCAAAATATCCACACTGGCTGGGTGTGGTGGCTCGTGCCTGTAATCCCAGCACATTGGGAGGCCAAGGCGGGTGGATCACTTGAGGTCAGGAGTTCAAGACTAGTCTGGCCAACATGGTAAAACCCTGTCTTCACTAAAAATACAAAAAGTATCTGGACATGGTGGCTCATGCCTGTAATCCCAGCTACTTGGGAGGCTAAGGCAAGAGAATTGTTTGAACCCGGAAAGTGAAGGTTGCAGTGAGCCAAGATTGCACCACTGCACTCCAGCCTGGGTGACAGAGCAAGAATCAGTCTCCAAAAAAAAAAAAAAAAAAAAAAAAAAATACCCCATAAACTTAGTTGATAAAGCATCAGTGGGGTTTCAAAGGAATGACTCCCATTTTGAAAGAGGTAATACTGTGAATAAAATGCTATCAAACAGCATTTGCATTCCTTTCATAAAAGGAAGGGTTGACCCATGTAGCAAACTACTTTGTCTTATTTTCAGAAATTGCCATAGCCACCTCACCCTTCAGAAAGCACCACTCTGATCTGTCAGCGGCCATCAACATCAAGGCAAGACTCTCCATCAACAAAAAGATACTATTCACTGACAGCTTAGTTGATTTTTAGCAATAAAGTATTTTTCATTAAGATGTGTACTTTTTTTTTAGATATAATGCTGTTGCACACTTACTAGACTACAGCATAATGTAAACAGACCTTTTTTTTTTTTTTGAGATGGAGTCTCATTCCGTCACCCAGGCTGGAGTGCAGTGGCACGGCTCACTGTAAGCTCTGCCTGTCGGGTTCACACCATTCTCCTGCCTTAGCCTCCTGAGCAGCTGGGACTACAGGCGCACGCCACCACGCCTGGCTAATTTTTTTGTATTTTTAGTGTAGACGGGGTTTCACCATGTTAACCAGGATGGTCTCGATCTCCTGACCTCGTGATCCACCTGCTTCGGCCTCCCAAAGTGCTGGGATTACAGGTGTGAGCCACCACCCCCGGCCGTAAACAGAACTTTTATATACACTAGGAAACCTGAAAGTTCATGTGACTTGCTGTATTGCAAATATTTATTGTGATATTTGCTTTATTGCTGTGGTCTGGAACCAACCCTGCAGTATCTCCAAGGTATGCCTGTATTGGCAAAAATATGGTATAGTCAGCCCTCCAAATCCTGGGTTCTGCTTCTGTGAATTCAATCAACCACACATCGAAAATATTTGGAAAAAAAATTGTACCTGTACGGAACAAATAGACATTTTTTCTTGTCATTATCCCCTAAAAGAGGATAACAATTATTTACATAGTATACATTGTATTAGGTATTATCAATAATCTAGAGCTGTCTTAAAACATGTGGGAGGATGTGTACAGGTTATATGCAAATACTATGCTATGTTGTATCTGGTACTTGAGTGTCTGCAGATTTTGGTATCCATAGCAGGTCCTGAAATCAATCCCCCAAGGATACCGAAGGACGACTGTGTATATAGGGTTCAGTACTATCCTTGATTTCAGTTATCCATTGGGGGTCTTGGAATGTATGCTCTGCAGATAAGAGGGGACTACTATATAGTCTTCGAGAAAGAAGTGTGTGTTACTATTTTGAAGCCACATCTATATACTTTAAAGCTGATCCATATGATATTGCCACATTTTAAAGTTTATCCATATATTGTTGTATTTCTTAGTGTATACTTCAGACTTTGTATGAAACAAGCCACTGGAATGTAAGCTTCATGATGTTGGGAACATTGTCAGTCTTGTTTATCACTCTATCCCCAGAACTTGAGAGTACTTGGTGTTTATTAAATGAATCAATTAACAATGTTTTGAAGTGCATAGTTCATTTTAGAAAAATTTACATTAAAGTGTTTAAAATATATTCACAACCTTTCCTTGCATTATTGAAACAAATGAGGTATTCTATAGTCTAAATGTGTAATCCTATGTTTACTATTCTTTTTGGGTAAGTTTTTTGGTAGTGTAATGTATTGTACCTAATTGGAGTGTATTTTATCTTTCTTTTAAGACACATGCCGGGACATACAAGTCGAGAAGTACTAATCATCTTTAGCAGCCTTACAACTTGTGATCCATCTAATATTTATGATCTAATCAAGGTACACCAAAAAATCAAAACCAAAGTTACAACTCTAAAGAGAATTCTGTAGCAAATTTGTTTATATATATATATGTATTTGTGTGTATAATTCATCTTTGTGGTAGATGTAGTGAATTTATCACTAGTTTTCAGAGCATTCTTTATTTTTCAAATACATTAATTCTTAAATGTTTTTCTTCTTTCCTAAAACTATCTATCTACTTGGATTTTATGAAGACCCTAAAGGCAGCTAAAATTAGAGTATCTGTTATTGGATTGTCTGCAGAGGTTCGCGTTTGCACTGTACTTGCTCGTGAAACTGGTGGTATATATATAATTTCTTTAATATTTGCTCATAATTACTGTGTAGGAAATAATTTAATTAAATTAGGATGTTTTAATCTGTTCTGAGGTACTAAAAGTAGTCTAAAATATGGGCAGTCATCTTAAATATATCATTGATTCTGTAAGAAATCATCTCAAAATGCAAAGAGTTTTCAGTACTTATGTCAATGTTTAGAGGAAGTATTATAACTCTTGGAAAACTGGAAATTTTACTGTATGTAATTCTTTATAAAGATTTTATAACTTGTCGGCCGGGCGCGGTGGCTCAAGCTTGTAATCCCAGCACTTTGGGAGGCCGAGACGGGCGGATCACAAGGTCAAGAGATCGAGACCATCCTGGCTAACGTGGTGAAACCCCGTCTCTACTAAAAAATACGAAAAACTAGCCGGGCGAGGTGGCGGGCGCCTGTAGTCCCAGCTACTCGGGAGGCTGAGGCAGGAGAATGACGTAAACCCGGGAGGCGGAGCTTGCAGTGAGCTGAGATTCGGCCACTGCACTCCAGCCTGGGCGACAGAGTGAAACTCCGTCTCAAAAAAAAAAAAAAAGATTTTATAACTTGTCTTTAATTAAATTCTAATTACAGGCCAGGCATGATGGCTCTGCCTATAATCCCAACATTTTGGTAGGCCAAGGCAGGAGAATCACTTGAAGCTAGAAGCTTGAGATCAGGCTGATTAACATAGTGAGACCTGTCTCTATTTATATGTTAAAATAATAATAATAGTAATAATAATCAATTGTAATTACAGTTATTCCTAGAGAAGTTGGTTTAGATATATTATTTAAATAAGGTTTTAAAAGTGATAATTTAGCTGAAATCATTATTTTGAAAATGTACATTTTCAGATGATAAAACTTTTACAGAATTACATAGAACGTATACTTCGTTATGTCTATGAAGCTGTTTTTTTTTTCTTTTCATCTTGTTAGGCACATACCATGTTATTTTAGATGAAAGCCATTACAAAGAGTTGCTCACACATCATGTTAGTCCCCCTCCTGCTAGCTCAAGTTCTGAATGCTCCCTTATTCGTATGGGTAAGTGTTTTTATGTTTTTAAAAAATATATATCTAGGCTTTCTATTTTTATTTGCACAAGTTATTTTAATATTTAAGAATTTTTAAAGAAAAAATATGCTTATTGAAGCAATTTTGGAAAGTACAGAGAAGTAAAAAAAAATAAATAAATTAAAACTACCAGTAGTCCTGTCACCCAGAAAATACTGTTGGCTTTCTTTATTTTTAAGACTAGAAAGGTATAAACTGTGTTTATAGAAAAATGCTTATATTAAGCTGGACCTGGTGGCTCACACCTGTAATCCCAGCAGTTTGGGAGGCCAAGGTGGGCGGATCACGAGGTCAGGAGATCAAGACCATCCTGGCTTACACGGTGAAACCCCATCTATACTAAAAATATAAAAAATTAGCTGGGTGTGGTGGCGGGTGCCTGTAGTCCCAGCTACTCGGGAGGCTGAGGCAGGAGAATGGCGTGAACCCAGGAGGCAGAGCTGGCAATGAGCCGAGATTGCACCACTGCACCCTAGCCTGGGTGACAGAGCAAGACTCTGTCTCAAAAAAAAAAAAAAGAAAAGAAAAAGAAAAATACTTATATTAAGAAATTTTTTAAATAAGCTACAAAGGCCAGGCGTGGTGGCTCATGCCTGTAATCCCAGCACTTTGGGAGGCCGAGGCTAGCAGATCACCTGAGGTCAGGAGTTTGAGACCACCCTAGCCAACATGGCGAAACCCTGTCTCTACTAAAAATTACAAAAAATTGCTGGGCATGGTGGCAGACGTCTGTAATCCCAGCTACTCAGGAGGTTGAGGCAGGAGAATCGCTTGAACTCAGGAGGCAGAGGTTGCCATGAGCTGAGATTGCACCACTGCACTCCAGTCTGGGTGGCAGAGCGAGACTGTCTTAAAAAAAAATAAAAATAAAATAAGCTACAGAATTCTCTGTACTGTATGATCAAAGCTGTGTAATACAAACTGTGCAAAGACAAACCTTGCAGGGAAGTACACCAAATTGCTCAAAGGAGGGGAAATTATTGGTTTTTGATCACTTTTTCTTTTTTTTTTTTTTTTTTGAGACGGAGTCTCACTCTATTGCCTAGGCTAAAGTGCAATGGCGCGATCTCAACTCACTGCAACCTCCGATTCCTGGGTTCAAGCAATTATCCTGCCTCAGCCTCCCGAGTAGCTGGGATTATAGGCGGGAACCACCACACCCAGCTAATTTTTGTATTTTTAGTAGAGACGGGGTTTCAGCATGTTGGCCAGGCTTGTCTTGAACTCCTGACCTCATGATCCGCCTGCCTCAGCCTCCCAAAGTGCTGGGATTCCAGGCGTGAGCCACTGCACCCGGGCTTGGATCACTTTTTTAAAATGTTATTTTCTTCTATTTTACCAAAATGTTACAATGAAGATTTATTACATTTATATTGAAAAAAGGTATAACTTTTAAATAGAAAAAGAATCTCCTTATTTAATATATATATTTTTAAATGTTAATGAAGTAGGATGCTTTTCTACTTTTGGCCTTTTGTATTACTAGTCGACCTCTCTTTTCCACGGTCTTCTCATGTGTTTAATGATGTTAGTAACTACCTTATTGTGTGTTGCAAGGATCGAGTTACTACAGATGATGCATTTAGAATAATGCTTGATGTAAACATTCAATACATTTTAGATCTTATTTAGCTAATCTTTTTGATTTACTGATATATATTCTTATTCCATTTTAAGGTTGTTTAAATTTATAATTTGTTTGTTAGAGTCCTTTAGGAATATTAACCTTTTCTTAGTCACCTGATGCAAATATTTTTCTTGTTGGTTATTTGTCTTTACTTTTATTTATTTGTTTTGATATGTAGATACATTTAAATTTTTTATGTAATATCTCTTTTTAAAAATGGTTTCTGCTTTTCCTGAACATGTTTTCAGAATTTAATATTATATATGGAAAACAAATTACATGAAAGATTTGAGCATTTCAAAATTTTAAACATAAAAGTATAAACTTAGATAAAATGAAGTTGTACTGTATCTTCAGTTGTATCAGAAATGATGTAAAAATTACAACCTCTTTAAAAAGTAGTGTTGATCATTATTAAGTTAGAAAATATATAGCTGGGCATGGTGGCAGATGCCTGTAATCCCAGCTACTTGGGAGGCTGAGGTGGGAGAATCGCTTGAACCCGGGTGGTGGAGGATGCAGTGAGCCAAGATAATGCCACTGCACCCCAGTCTGGGTGACAGAGCAAGACTCCATCTCAAAAAAAAAAAAAAGAAAAGAAAAAGAAAAATATATATATATGAACTTCAGAATCTGAGGTCATATTTATAGACAGGTCTTTCCCCCGTTTCCTCTACTTTTTCTTGTGGCTTGGAATTAGTTTCATCATGCTATAATAAGCTTATCTGAAAGGTGGTAAAGTGATATTTTGTGCAACTTCATTGGCTTTTTGATAAGAACATCTTTAGGTTCTTAGTCCTAGAATTCTGCTGTTTGCTTGGAAAAAGAAAGTAATACATTTTCTTCTATGAAGGATTTCCTCAGCACACCATTGCTTCTTTATCTGACCAGGATGCAAAACCCTCTTTCAGCATGGCGTAAGTAAAGACCTTGAAAATATCAGTGATAATGTTTTTACATTTTTAATTCCTTCTTTTAAGTTATAAATTCAAAAGATAAGCAATGAAGAGTATGTCTGTATACTTGTATGGAGTGATCTTCAGGATATATTACTAAGTAAAATAGTAAGTTTAAGAGAATTTTGTAGTATGCTACTGATCACCTAAGAAGAAAGAAGAGATGTAAGTGGATATATTTGCTTGTTTATGTTAATAATAAAAACAGTAGTATGGAAATAATAAAAACTTAAAAGGGGTGGAGGGGGAAGTATTTTTTTTTTTATGTTTACCTCAGTGAGTGTGTAGGGAAAAGCAAAGGGATAGACCCTAGACTTTTCTGAATGCATCACTTAATGATAGGGATCCGTTCTGAGAAATGCATCATTAGGTGATACCATCATTGTGCAAACATCACAGAGTGCACTTACACAAACCTAGATAGTGTAGCCTACTAACATCACAGTTATATGGTATAGCCTATTTCTCCTAGGCTGCACACCTGTACAGCATATTGTGTACTGAATAATGTAGGCAGTTGTAATGTAACACTTAGTGTTTGTGTAACTAAACACAGAAAAGGTGCAACTAAAATGTGGTATTATCTTTTGGGACCACTGTCATATATGTGGTCCATCACTGACCAAAATGTTATATAGAATATTACTGTACTGTGTTTTAACTTCAGAGCTTTGTATTTTACATAATTATAAAACAAAATTAAATTTAAGAGAGTAATTCTTAAAAATCACAAACAAGATTTCTGATTCCAGCCAAAAAGGTGTAACAGGGACTAGATTTACCCTCCTGTCAAAAAAAGTAGACAAAGTATATAAAACAGTGGTTTTCAGACATTGGACAGCAAGCCTTGCGATAATGATCCCTGAAAAAAAGGAAACAAATGAGATGGGCCCTAAGAGCACTCCAGCTTACTGCCTGGATGGAATTTCCAGGCTGCAGACAGAGGCTGGAGATGTTGTTGAGTTGAAGAAACAAAGTTCATCTTTCAAGGAGGCTGAGATGGTGATAATTTTGCAGGTCAGAGTACTGGAGAGGAAAGAGCTGCACAGAGAGAACTCTCTGGGGAACTGCAGAGACTCTGGGGAGCTGCTCATGAGTCAACAGCTGAGTGTTGATCAGCACTTTCGTGTGAGGAGACTACTGGAAAGCAGCAGACAGAGCAATTCCCAGAGCTCACACAGAGAACATTCATGTTCTCACCAGTCTGTATGGAAGTACCTCTTAACATGACAGGCATTGAATAGAGTCCACAGTAATGGGATCAAATTAATTCTATCACAAGAACTGGAACCAGAGGCAAAAAAAAAGAGAGAAAAATCTAGACTAACAGCTGTTCTGGACCAGCCTAACAAATCTTAAAAGCAAGTTTTGAAGAGATTAAACTATTTCCAAGTTAATGAAGTATATTCTAAATATTAAACCCTTAAATATTTAAGGGAATATAAAAAAAAGAAAAAGAAAAAATCCAGCACCCAAAACAAAGCAAAATTCACAATGTCTGGCAAAGCAAAATTCACAATCCCTGGCAGAAATTACCAAGGATGCAAAGGAAAATATGACCCATAAAACGGAGAAAAATCACAGAATGGAAACATACCCAGAAATAATCCAGTTGGTAGAATTAATAGACAAAGGGTTGGGTGCAGTAGCTCATGCCTGTAATCCTAGCACTTTGGGAGGCTTAGGTGGGGGGATCACTTGAGCCCAGGAGTTTGAGATCAGTATAGCCAACATGGTGAAACCCATCTCTACTAAAAACACAAAAATTAGCCAGGCCTGGTGGCGCACACCTGTAATCCCAGCTACTCAGGAGGCTGAGGTACAAGATACACTTGAACCCAGGAGCTAGAGATTGCAGTGAGCTGAGATCATGCACTCCAGCCTCGGTGACAGGCTAAAAAAAAAAAAAAAAAAAAAAAAGAATTAGTAGACAAAGATGTTAGGACAACAATTATATTATAAATGTACTCTGTATGTTCAGGATATTATAGAACATGAGAATGGTAAGAAGAGATATGGAAGGTATAAAAAAGACCCAAATCAAACTTCTAGTGATGAAGAATACAGTGTTTTAGATGAAAAATATATTGGCTGGGATTAACAGCAGATTAGACACTACAGAAGAAAAAAATTAGTGAATTCAAAGATAGTAATAGAAACTTAAAAATGAAGGGCTGGGTGTAGTGGCTCACATCTGTAATCCCAGCACTTTGGGAGGCCGAGGCAGGCAGATCACTTGAGACCAGGAGTTTGACACCAGCCTGGCCAACATGATGAAACCTCATCTCTACTAAAAATACAAAAATTAGCTGGGCGTGGTAGCACGTGCCTGTAATCCCAGCTGTTCAGGAAGCCAAGCACGAGAATTGCTTGAACCTCGGCGGCGGAGGCGGTGAGTTGAGATTGCGCCACTGTACTCCAGCTTGGGCAATAGAGTGAGACTCTGTCTCAAAAAAAAAAAAAAAAAACTGAAGAGAAGGCAAAAAATGAATGTAGCATAATTGAGCTATAAGACATACAGATTTAAAAATAGACTTTCAGCCCAGGCACAGTGGCTCACACCTATAATCCCAGCACTTTGGGAAGCCGAGGCAGGTGGATCATTTGAGGCTAGGAGTTCAAGACCAGCAACATAGTGAGACCCCCATCTCTACAAAAAGTTATAAATTTTTTAAAAATATTGACTTTTTTTTTTTTTTTTTGAGATAGAGTTTCACTCTTGTCACCCAGGCTGGAGTGCAGTGGTTCTATCTCAGCTCACTGCAACCTCTGCCTCCTGGGTTCAAGCAATTCTGCTTCAGCCTCCCAAGTAGCTGGGATTACAGATGCCCAGCTAATTTTTGTGTTTTTTAGTAGAGACAAGGCTTCACCATGTTGGCCAGGCTGGTCTTGAATTCCTGACCTCAGGTGATCCACCCACCTTGGCCTCCCAAAGTGCTGGGATTACAGGTGTGAGCCACTGCACCTGGCCAAAAATACAGACTTTTAAATAGATTTTTAAATAGTGTCAAGATTTTAAGATCAAGATAATGTGCTTTCCTGCTCTAACTTTTCAGATTCTTATATATTACCTTTTTTTTCCCCTCTACAGGCATTTGGATGGCAATACTGAGCCAGGGCTTACATTAGGAGGCTATTTCTGTCCACAGTGTCGGGCAAAGTACTGTGAGCTACCTGTTGAATGTAAAATCTGTGGTAAGAAACCAACTATTCATTATTCAGTAAATGTTGAATGACTTCTTACCTGTATTGCTGCTAAAATTAATGTAAATGTTAAGTTATTCCTATGTTTCTGGAATTAATCTGTGCAAAGAAAAATAGATTACTTTTTAAATGGAGTGCCTAGTACTCCACTTCCAGATACAAATGTAGCATTCTAGTTTTCTGATCCTCTTTCTGAAAAAAGTATATTCTTTAAAGGCAGTGCAGTAGATCTAGTAGACATTTTTCCATCTCTTACCTTTATAAAGTAAATATATACAAGAATGAAGAACTAAACTAATAGAATTTCTAATTTTATTTCATTTATAAGTAAGCAAATAGACCAAGACAGGTTGGTTACACACTTAGTGACAGAAGTAAGATTCCATCCTACAATCTTCTGTTATAGCCACAGGTAAAATGAATAACTGCCATCCTAAAAGAAACTGAAAATATTCTGCCAAAGTTACATCTTTTGTCTTTTCAGCCGTTGTCTTCATGAGGTTTGGACTACTCAACATGTCTCTCTGCTTAATGTGTTAGGTCTTACTTTGGTGTCTGCTCCCCACTTGGCACGGTCTTACCATCATTTGTTTCCTTTGGATGCTTTTCAAGAAATTCCCCTAGAAGAATATAATGGAGAAAGGTATATCAGTTTGGATTAATTTGTATCTGTTATAAGTGGTAAGCTAATGTTTGAATAGATTGTTACTACCTTAAAAAATAATCCTATTGGCTTGGACAAGAGTACTTCTAATATGGAAGATGAGATGAAGAATGTCGTGGTTATGATTGAAATGACTCATTGTTAAATAGATCTGAATCTCCAGAAACCAAATAATTTCACTAAACCCACGTATGTATAAATAAGGGTAATGATTGTACTACTAAATCAGTTTTCCGGAAGGAAAAGAAAAAAAACCCTGACTGGTAGTATTCACAGATTTCCATGGTTTGAATACTCCCACTATGGCCGATTTTTAGCTACCAATTAACCAGTTCTCAAAATCCTTGAATACATATTTAACAATATATCCTCTTGAGCCAGTACAATCCAGTCCTAGCATACTACTGAAAATAAGAGGCTCATTCAGCACTTTGGGAGGCTAAGGTGGGAGGATCACTTGAGGCCAGGAGTTGAAGACTAGCCTGGGCAACATGGTGAGACACCATCTCTTAAAGAAGAAAAAAAAAAGCTGGGCACGGTGACTCATGCCTGTAATCCCAGCACTTTTGGAGGCCAAGGCAGGCAGATCACCTGAGGTCAGGAGTTCAACACCAGCCTGTTCGACCCCATCTCTACTAAAAATACAAAATTTAGCCCAGTGGTGGCGCGTGCCTGTAATCCCAGCTACTCGGGAGGCTGAGGCAGGAGAATCGCTTGAACTTGAAAGGCGGAGGTTGTGGTGAGCTGAGATCATGCCATTGCACTCCAGCCTAGGCAACAAGAGCGAAACTTTGTCTCAAATATAAAATAAAATAAAAATATGGCATAACATAATTTACCTAAAATCTTTAAGTATTTTTATGAATGGTATTTGTGTGGAATATAACAAATAAAGTCTGAAATAGAGGTAGTCAATCTTTTATAGAATAGTTTTCAGAAAATAAAGATTTACTACTTTTAAGAATATCCAGGATCGGTTGGGCGTGGTGGCTTATGCCTGTAATCCTAGCACTTTGGGAGACCGAGGCAGGTGGATCACCTGAGGTCAGCGGTTCGAGACCAGCCTGGTCAACATGGTGAAACACCGTCTCTACTAAAAATACAAATATTAGCCGAGTGTGGTTGGAGGTACCTGTAACCCTCAGCTACCCAGGAGGCTGAGGCAGGAGAATCGTTTGAACCTGGGAGGCCGAGGTTTCAGTGAGCCAAAATCACACCATTGCACTCCAGCTGGACGACAAGAGCGAAACTCCATTCAAAAAAAAAGAACATCCAGGATTTAGGAATCACATTAAACGCTTACTGGCTAGCAGAAGACAATTATGTATCCTTTTTTTTTTTTTTTTTTTGAGACGGAGACTTGCTCTGTCGCCCAGGCTGGAGTGCAGTGGCCGGATCTCAGCTCCCTGCAAGCTCCACCTCCCGGGTTCACGCCATTCTCCTGCCTCAGCCTACAGGCGCCCGCCACTTTGCCCGGCTAGTTTTTTTTTGTATTTTTTAGTAGAGAGGGGGTTTCACCGTGTTAGCCAGGATGGTCTTGATCTCCTGACCTCGTGATACGCCTGTCTCGGCCTCCCAAAGTGCTGGGATTACAGGCTTGAACCACCGCGCCCGGCTTATGTATCCATCTTGCTTTTCACACTTAAATCATTTGGAAGTCATTTAACGTCACCATATCTAGATCAGTGTTGTTTTTGAAATTGTTGCATATTTCAGGGATAATTATGGTTTATATAACCAATTGTTTCCTGTTGGATATAAGATTTTTTTTTTTTGCTATTAACAAATAATGCTTATATCTGTATTTTTGAACATTTGTACAAGTATAAATGCATGGTAAATTCCTAGAGGTAAAATTACTGAGTCAAGAGTTTTACATCTTTTGTGAATTTTGATAGATATTGTAAAGTTGTTCTTCAAAGAAGTTTCATTTATTGTTTTCCCACATTTAGCCAACATTAGGTATTATGAAACTTTTTTATATTGGCTAAAACTGACAGACAAAAAAAAAAGTCTCATTGTTTTAGCTTGGTATTTATTTGCTTATGGTTGAGGTTAAATGTAGTATAAAGGAAAAACCCAGTGCTATAGAAGATGGAGTTGAAGAAATATTCCAGAAAGTACAATAAAAGGAGTAAAATAAAGAGGTTGAAATAGGAGAGTAAAGATAAGAATACTAGGGATTCATCCAGAAGGTCCAGTATGAGAATAATATGAGAAAAAAAAAAGTAGGATAGAAAATCATCAAAGACATAGTTCAAAGAAATTTTCTGTTGAAGGACAGAACTTTCTAGATTGAAAGGGTCTATTGGCTGGGAAGGGTGGCTAATAGCTCTAATCCTTGTACTTTGGGAGACTAAGATGGGGATCACTTGAGGCCAGGAGTTCCAGGCCAGCCTGGGTCACATAGCAAGACCTCATATCTACAACAATGATAAAAGAAAGGGAGTGCCAAGTGCCTAACCGTATTGAAGGAAGACAGACCCCATAATTGTGAAATTTCAGAATACACAATAAATCCTTAACCCTAAACATTTCCAGAGAGGAAAAACTAGGTCACATACAAAGGATCTGGAATTAAACTTGTTTGACTTCTCATTAGCAACACTGGATGCAGAGAGGGAGCAGTCACCTTCAAAGTTTGTAGTGAAAATTGTTACCCTTAGGTACCCAGCCAAGCTATCAGTTAAGTGAAGGTAGAATAACAACATTTTTAGACTTGTAAGGTCTCAAAAAGATATTTTTCTGGGGAAGGTTTGGAAGAGATAGGTGATTCAAAGGAACAGAGAAAGAGAATGACATGGGGTCTAGTAATATGTATCTAATTCAAAACAGGCTGAAGAACGGCCTAGCATGATGGTAAGAAGAAATTCCAGAATGATACCTGTGTGTCACATATGGGGAACAGTCCAGTTTGGAGACAGTCAGAATGCTCCAGGAAAGATATCACCAAGGGGATGAAAACTGCAGAACTCCTGATGTATTTAAATATATTGAGAGGACAGTTATACTATTCCAGAGAAGACTGGGCCTGAATTAGTGTCAATTACATAGGAAACTAACCTTGGGAATAGCAACACAGTATTTCCAGGAAAAAAAAATGTTTTAAATAGGGGAAAACTTATGGCTTAGCTGAGAATATTTTTATAGGCATAGTAAACTAAACATTGATTATTATTCTATCCAAAAGGAAGAGTTAACTATGTAGAAAGAATTGAGAATGACATTAGTTACATATTTATGCATTACTGGGTTCAAGATGGTTGAAAGAGAATTAAATTCTCTTCTTTCATAGTTGGAGGTTCATAGCCAGTAACTGTGAAGAATCACAAAGTAGCACTTATTAGAATAACTGACTATCAAACAAAAGTTTGAAAGTGCTTCTGGCTGGGCACGGTGGCTCATGACTGTAATCCTAACACTTTGGGAAGCCAAGATGGGAGGATTGCTTGAGCCCAGGCATTCTAGACCAGCCTGGGCAATATAGCAAGACCCTGTCTAAATAAAAACTTAGCCAGGCGTGGAGATGCATGCCTGTAGTCCCAGCTACTCAGAAGGCTGAGGCAGAAGGATCACCTGAGCCCAGGAGGTTGAGGCTGCAGTGAGCCATGATAGCACGTCTGCACTCCAACCTTTGAGACAAAGCAAGACCCTTGACTTGAAAAAAATGAAAAATAAAGCATGCTCACATTTAACCTTAATGAAAATAAAAACTACATTTTGGGCTGTCAGATGAACTTGTATATACTGTGGAATTTTTTTTAATTTATGGTATTCTTTTTTTTTGAGACGGAGTTTCATTCCTGTCACTCAGCGTGGAGTGCAATGACACCATCTCGGCTCACTGCAACCTCCACCTCCTGGGTTTAAGCGATTCTCCTGCCTCAACCTCCCAAGTAGCTGGGATTACAGGCGCCCACCATCACGCCCGGCTAATTTTTGTATTTTTAGTGGAGACGGGGTTTCGCCATGTTGGCCAGGCTGGTCTCAAACTCCTGACCTCAGGTGATCCACCCGCCTCGGCCTCCCAAAGTGCTGGCCTTTTGGTATTCTTAACTCTTTTTTCCTGAAAGTCATGTGAAGACAAGTACATATTAATTAAAGGATTCTAGTTATTGAGATTTTGCTGAACTATTTTAATGAGTGAATTTTAAGAAAAAACTGATTGTTAAACTTTTTTTTCAGATTTTGTTATGGATGTCAGGGGGAATTGAAAGACCAACATGTAAGTTCATTGGCTTTCTAAATATTAAGTAATGTATAAGAAATACTGAAATAAATGGTACTATAAGTTTTCAACAGGTTGTTAAAGACCAGGCTCATATCAGTTTATTTCTTGTAAAGATAATTACAATAGGTGGAGGTAAAATGGGAACAAAATAGTTTAAATAGTAGTTTTGTTATTCTGCATTATAATTTTTGCTATAAAGATACTTTGTAATTCATCTCTTTTTTTTTTGAGACTGAGTCTGGCTCTGTCACCCAGGCTGGAGAGCAGTGGCACGATCTCGACTCACTGCAAGCTCCACCTCCCGGTTCATGCCGTTCTCCTGCCTCAGCCTTCCGACTTACTGGGACTACAGGCACCCGCCACCACGCCCAACTAATTTTTTTTATATTTTTAGTAGAGACGGGGTTTCACCGTGTTAGCCAGTATGGTCTCGATCTCCTGACCTCGTGATCCGTCCACCTTGGCCTCCCAAAGTGCTGGGATTACAAGCATGAGCCACCATGCCCGGCTGTAATTCATCTTTTTAAAAAATTTTTGTATTAAAAGTTTTTAAATATTTTTCTTCTTTTTTAAAATTCTTTGATTGTTTTGTCTACTTTGGTACACCCTTGTAAAACATGTAATTTGTCTTTATCTTTCAAGCTAAACTGCATTTAATCTGAAAGTATTTAAAATATTTTCTTCATATTATACTTTAAGCTGTGTGATAACACATTGAAGTTGTTTAAGGTGGCCCCAGATAATAGGTGATTCTTCCATTATGCCAATGAGAAAATACTTTTTCAGTTTTGAAGAGGGCCAACTTTAATATATAAACTTGTATAGATGTAAATAATATGGATCACTGTCTAGCTTTAATTTTTAATTTAGTTACATGTTCCTATTTGAAACTATATAAATTATATAAAATAATAAGTATTGCTATTCCATTGTCACAAATTTATAAAGTAATTTTATTAAATTGTATATACCTCTTTGACATCAGTAGCTTCCTCTTTACTGGAACTACTTTTTGAGTCATTTGACAGGTTTTTGGTTTTATTTTCTGAGACGAACTCTTGCTCTGTCACCCAGGTTGTAGTGCAGTGATGCAATCTTGGCTCACTGCAACCTCTGCCTCCCAAGTTCAAGTGATTCTTGTGCCTCAGCCTCCCAAGTAGCTGGGATTATAGGCATGTGCCACCATGCCCAGCCAATTTTTGTATTTTTAGTAGAGACTGGGTTTCATCATGTTGACCAGCTGGTCTTGAACTTGTGGGCTCAAGCAGTCTGCCCGCCTTGGCCTCCCAAAGTGCTGGGATTACAGGTGTGAGCCACCACACCCGGCCTCATTTGAGTTTTTAAGAATAGGTCATTGTCTGTGTTGTTTGAGATTTATTTATTCATTCATTTTGTTTTTATTTTTTTATCCAAAGCCACATACTTCTGAGATTTAGTGATTTTTGAATCTGTGTATGAATCTGCCCTGGAAATTTTATCCCAAGGCACAAGTACCCATATATGTAATGCTGAAAGAACAAATGTAGTTTTTTCCTTTTTATTTGTCTTATCTGTGTCATTTGACATATTTTTTTGAAAGGTTTACTTGAAAAGGAAATATAACATTTGCAATTGTGAGGTCATTCCCTAAGAATAATTAAATCTATGTTAAATTTTTATGCTTCTCTTTTTAATTGAATCAATCAAGTGGTCTTGCTAAGCATTCAAAAGTAGCACTGGTTTGAAGCTCATGTCTTTCCCAAACCTTAGAATGAAATAATTGAGAGTGAACTATAATAGAATAGACTTTAAAGGCTCGAAAACAAAGTCATTCCCTCATTTCTAAGGGATAGTTTGGGGTAAAAAATTAATTGCTGTAGATTTGAGAATATAGAGTACATGGAAGTAATAAAGTAGGTAGTGGGAAAAAACTGATAGAGATACAAAAAAGCAAAGCACACCTTGAATGTCATCTAGCTGTGCTGTAATTAACTTTTGGAAACTAGTTTATCACTTTTCTCCTTTTCACTACAGGTTTATGTTTGTGCTATGTGCCAAAATGTTTTCTGTGTGGACTGTGATGTTTTTGTTCATGATTCTCTACACTGTTGCCCTGGCTGTATTCATAAGATTCCAGCTCCTTCAGGTGTTTGATTCCAGCATGTACTATACATTGTATGTGTTAAAAAGAAATTTGCAACTGTGAATAAAATGACTTATTTAGAAGAAGCTTCATTTAAAACATGAAAGGATAATCTGACTTAATAAACTTTTTGCTAAGAAAAGGTAATATTTTATTAAATTTTACATTTGTGTTCTGTCACAGAAATACCTGAAATTCAGTAGTACTTCATTCAATTAATTTTGTTTTCTATTATTTTGAGTTATACTGTTTTCAAAGTCATTATGCAGTATGTATAAATTACTTATAATAATTAAATTGATGTGATAATTTTATGTTTTTATAATTAAATATAGAATATGATTTATGTTAATTCATTAATTTAGTGTAAGAAGAAAGTTAAGTCTAAATGTAAATTCAGTGTAAGATGAAAATTTATCAATAGTTATGAAATTAGGCTGGGCACCATGGCTCAGGCCTGTAATCCCAACACTTTGGGAGGCCAAAGTGGGCAGATCACCTGAGGTCCGGAGTTCAAGACCAGCCTGGCCAACATGGTGAAACCCTGTCATTACTAAAAACACACACAAAAATTGCCGGGCATGGTGGTTCATGCCTGTAGTCTCAGCTACTTGGGAGGCTGAGGCAGGAGAATCGCTTGAACCTGGGAGGCAGAGGTTGCAGTGAGCTGAGATGGTGCCACTGCACTCCACCCTAAAGTAAGACTCCGTCTCAGAAAAAAAAAAAGTGTTATGAAATTAATACATATGAAATGATGTACTGCTACATCCACCAGAGAGGTCTTTTTTGGTTTAACCAAACATTTGGAATATGTTTATCAAGTTAGTACATCTGAAATTATTTGTGGCTATGACCAACAGAAGTCACTTTAGATTAAACATTCAGACTCACAAGACTGCCATGGCCATACTTGGTACCCGCTTACTCAAAAGGATACTAAACAGAAACAACAGCCTGCCAGCACAGCATCAAGCAGTCCTCATTAGCAGTGGAAGTCTTTGTAGCAGTCCACTGTTACAGTTTAGGTGCAAGGAGATAAGATCCTCCACAGGCATCAAGGAACCAATATCTCTTAACAATTCCATAAACACAGCTTCCAGGGTATCCACAAGGGATGTGTCAATTTCAAGAGTCACCACACTCAGGAAAGCCTAAAGCTTGAAGTCTCCATTAGATTATTTATAGTGCATCCCAATCCAGATACCGTAACAATTACGAGTTATTTTTACCATAAGCAAAGTTGCCTAAAATCATAGTTGATACCAACCATGGTTAACAGAGCTCTAAAAGTTTGACAGAAAGTGAGATTCAAATCCTTTCACTCTCATATGCTAAACCTTCTGCTTTACTCTGGGTCATCAGAGAAATTTAGGTGAGAATGTATGATGAAGTCTGTGTTTTAGGTTCAATGCAGATATATCATTATAGGCAGAACTCTTTTCTGGTTATACCCAGTTAAGAGTAAATCAGGCTTTCATAGCAAAGATATGTCTATTTTATGTATATAAACTTCAGGTACTCTAGATTGAGTTTCACTATGAAATTTGTGACTTTTTTTTTTTTTTTTTTTTTTTTTTGAGATGGAGTCTTGCTCCGTCACTCAGGCTGGAGTGCAGTGGCGTGATCTTGGCTCACTGCAACCTCCATCTACCAGGCTCAAGCAATTCTCCTGTCTCAGCCTCCTGAGTAGCTGGGACTACAGACGCCTGCCACCATGCCTGGCTAATTTTTGTATTTTTAGTAGAGACAGGGTTTTACCTTGTTTATCAGGCTGGTCTCCAACACCTGACCTCAGGTCGTCCACCCACCTCGGCCACCGTGCCCAGCGGAAATTTGTGATTTTATAACTAAGAATTTTTAGTTAAGAACATTATCAGTAAAGACAATGTAGTCCCACCCTGGAGAATCTATTCAATAGATCTTCAGGGGAGCCCAGGAATATGCATCTTTAGTAAGTGTGTGTGCACACACATTCACACACGCACACACACAATGTGATTAGAGTAACAGGAGTTTCTCTCAGGAGTCATACTCCATGAGCCTAGACCCAGTGGTTCTTTATGTGGACACAAATTTCAGCTATAGGTTACCTAGTAACTGCTATTTTCTTCCGTCTGCTCTGTCAACAAAGGTATCAGTGGCTTGCAGGAGATGCCTTTAGTACTCTCAGAGCATTCTATCTCCCCCTATCTGGTTTAGAAGGAAGGCCTTCATTAATTACCTATTGAAAAGTTACTAGAACTCTCTATTAGAGACTCACCCTCTTGACCGGATAAAAAAGGATATCCGTGTCTCTGTTAACAGCTTTATCTCTCTACAGTTTTGGGTATTTGATAAGGTTAAGACAAAATTTTGGTTATGCTTGAGGAGGAGTTCTTTTTTCACAATTACAGAGAAAATTTTGGTTTGTTGAATATTGCAGAAATAGAAATGGTAATGTAAGACAGTTCTGGCCTTTAATTGTTTTCTTGAAACTCTACAGTATACTACAATATACAATATAGTAAAGGAAACTATTAACATGAGAGATCCTTCTGAATAGGATGTCTTTCTGAGTTCCACTATTCAGTTACAAAACTCCTTAATGCTTAAAATTCGTTATGAAAATTAGATTTATTTTAAATACTTTCAAGTGTATACATTTTTATTTCATAATTTTTATTCTGTTTGTCTTTGAACTAAAGCATTTAGTTCATTTATATTTACTGTGTACATTTTATATTTAATAAACAAATATATTTATTTATTAAAAGATTACCACTGATATATTTGGGTTTAAATTTATTATCTTTGTGTTATTGGTTCCAACAATTCCATCTTTCCTTTTTTTTTTTTTTTAGTTTTTTTAACTGCATATTTGACACTATCTTTTCCTTCCTGCCTTCTTTTTGATTACTTACTTTCTACCATTCTGTGTTTTTCCTCACTAGTTTGAAAATTGTATACCCTAGAAATTACAACAAACAAAAATTACAACAACAAGAAATTACAACAAGAAGAATTTCTTTCTTTTTCTTTTCTTTTTTTTTTTTTTTTATTTGAGACAGAGCTGGAGTGCAGTGGCATGATCTCGGCTCACTGCAAGTTCTGCCCCCCAGGTTCATGCCATTCTCCTGCCTTAGCCTCCCAAGTAGCTAGGACTACAGGTGCCTGCCACCATGCCCGGCTAATTTTTTGTGTTTTTAGTGGAGACAGGGTTTCACTATGTTAGCCAGGATGGTCTCGATCTTCTGACCTCGTGATCCACCTGCCTTGGCCTCCCAAAGTGCTGGGATTATAGGCGTGAGCCACCATGCCTGGCCAACAACAATTTCTTAAGTCCCCTAGAAAGTAGAACCTGAGGCAAAGATGAAAGTGTTGTTACTTTATTAGGAAGGGGCAGATCTAGGGGGGTGAGAGTGGAAGAAAAGGGAAAGCAAGGCAAGGAAAAACATGATGCATTGCGTTAAGTGCAGTGGCTGGACTTCATGATAAGCTGTGACGAGATACAGGAGCCTCCCAGCAAGTGTGTTCACTTAGAGTGTGGGGCTTCTCCAGAAGGTTTATAAGGAGAAACTGCCCCTCTGAGCAGTCCATTGAAGGGAGGAAGGGGAAGTAACTTACTTTTCTTAAGTTCTTCCATTTCCCATTGATCCTACTTTGCCCACAGGGCTGTGTCATATCCTTTGGTAGCTCAGGAAGCCAGATCTCGTGCTCAGTGGTGTGGCATTGCATCCCCCTCTAGAAGGATTTCTCAATACTTTATAACTTCCTCATGTTTGTGGTCATGTGTGTGTTCAGCTATATCTCTAGAATGGCTGGCAAATTCATAGCATGAAATGATTTCATGAGTGGTGACAAAGAAAGGGTGCAGTCAGCCCTTGGGGAGTGGGTTAGTGGAATCCCAGTCTGGAGGCCATTAGTGGGTGGCAGAGTTTAGGAGAAAAGATAAGAAGTTTCAGTCCTTGGGCCCTGTAGTAAGGAGAAAAACGGTACAGGAGGTTGTCACATTTCTGAGAAGTAGTCTTAGAGTGCCCTAGTACCCGCTCTGGATCCAGTTCTGTAAGGGCAGAGGATTCATTATTTCCAGGTAATCTAAGTCTGTTCTGGGGAGAAGTATTACAAGATGGACTGGGAACTCAGCTGGGATCCTGAAGGGATTTAAATTATTGATTTCACCTGACTGAATTGCTATTTGTGTCACACCTCAGGACCCTGGAAATAATACACAATTTGCCCATTCATTCATTAATTCACTCAACAAACTTGTACATCTGCCGTAAGTCTGACACAATCCTAGTTATCAGGGATGTAGATACTCAAAAGAAGGAAACCTAACCTCATGCATCTGTGAATCTCCCCATCTGAAAAGACACAGCCTTGTAAAGAAGCTTGTGTGAAAGTGCTAACGACATGCCAAGTGTTGTGGGGATGCAGGAGAGGCGTGGTAAAGTGGGTTGGGAGGCAGCTCAGATGTCTAAAGGGGTCAGGCAGACAATGCAGGTAAGTGAAAGGGGGCTGGTTGATGCACAGTGGGGACATCTGGAAAGCACCCATCCCATCTAAAGGAGGCAGCCTCTGAGAGGCTGGGGGTCAGGTATAGAAGGGAGACGTACTTTTCACTGTAGATCCTTTTGTATCTTTTAAATTTTGTTACTTAATTCAAAAAAATGTAGAAATAAAGATTTTAAAGTGAGGTAACCATTATTTGGCCCCAGCCTATTTTTTTCTTCTGGGAATGATACTTAAACTAAAAACTGGAATTTTTTTTTTTTTTTTTTTTTTTTGAGACAAAGCCTTGCTGTGTTCCCCAGGCTGGAGTGCATTGGTGCAATCATGGCTCACTGCAGTCTCGACCTTCCAGACTCAAGTGATGGTCCCACTTCAGACTCCCTAGTAGCTGGGACCACAGGTGTGTGCCACTGTGCCTGGCTAATTTTTAAAAAAGGTTTTTTTTTGTAGAGACAGCGTCTTCCTATGTTGCCCAGGCTGGTCTTGAACTCCTGGGCTCAATTAATCTGCACGCCTCCGTCTTCCAAAGTGTTGGCATCATAAGCTTGAGCCACCGTGCCCAGCCGTAAAAACTGAATTTTTAAAGTGAATTCTCCCAAGTTTGAGATGTTGGTATCTAATTTGGAAAAACACAGAGGCTAAATCCTGGCCTGTCTCTTTTCTATCACTTATCATCAGGGCAGATATTCTTATAAGTTTCAGGTGTTATACTTTCCTGGGATATACTCCTCTTAGGGGATTATTTATTTATTTTTTGTTTTTGTTTTTGTTTTTGTGACAGAGTCTCGCTCTGTCAACCAGGCTAGAGTGCAGTGGCACAATCTTGGCTCACTGCAACCTCTGCCTCCTGGGTTCAA